GAGGAAGGGTTGAGTAAGCCAAATTTTAGAGAAGAAATCTCATTACAAAAAGGACTTGATAATTAAAATGAACTGTATATTTTTCAAGATGGCTGCACACATGGATGCTGTGGCTAACCGCTCTTTCTTTCAGTGTATGGTGTGTATGATTCTATGTGTTTTGGATCCTTTCCTTGATTGAACCCTGTGGGGCAAGGAGCATCTATAGTTGGCAAGCCTTGTTACAAATTGGACTGAAATGTGAAAAGGCTATTATGGATGATTTTATACATTCTCATAACATACCAAAGGAGGCAGCTAGGTCCCTGGGGGAGCCATGGATCACTATCCCTGTAGGAAGGAGGAAGAGGCGGAGAAAGAGGAACAGGAAGAGGAGGAGAGGATGCCATGCTGGAGTTTTCTTTAGGCTGAGTAAGTTTCCACACAAGCCTTCAATTCCAAGTATATTTCTTACCAATGCAAGATCTCTGACTAACAAAATGGATGAATTAAGGCTACAGGTTGCAAAGACTAAATTCATCAACAATTGCTGTGTTTTGCTAATCACAGAAACTTGGCTTCATTCACTCATTCCAGATTCAGCTGTTGAACTGGAAGGCTACATAGCTCACCAGCAGGACAGGAGTAGAGATTCTGGCAAGATCAAAGCGGGAGGTTTAAGCCTTTATGTGAACAAAAGCTGGTGTATCAATACAAAGACTGTAGACAGCCACTGCTCCATGGATCTGGAGTATATGACTCTTAAATGTAGATCCATATATCTTCCATGGAAATTCAGCGTGGTTTTGATTACTGTAGTCTATGTCCCACCTGATGCCAATACTACCATAGCTTTGGGATTCTTGTACAACGTTGTTAGTAATCACTAAAATAAGTATCCTGATGCTGTGCATATCATAGTGGGGGACTTTAATCAAGCTGATTTAAACGCAGTGCTCCCTAAATTCTATCAGCATGTTAAGTATGCTACTAGAGGAGCAGACATATTGGACAAAGTATATACCAACATCAAACATGGCTATAAGGTTATACAATTATCACATTTGGGACAATCAGACTATATGCCACTGCTTTTAGTACCAGCGTACATCCCTCTTAGGACACGGGCTCTGCCTATAATAAAGACAGTGAAATCTTGACCAGAAGATGCTTCCCAACAACTTCAGGATTGTTTTGAGAACACAAATTGGGACATCTTTTACCACCCTGACCTAGAGGAGCACACTGCAACTGTTCTGTGCTATATCAAACATTGCACAGATACTGCCACTGTGGATAACGTATTAGGATCTATCCCAATCAGAAACCCTGGATGACCAAGGAAGTCCAGCACGTCTTGCATGACAGGACCAAGGACTTTAGGTCCAGTGATGGGGCAAGATACAGTGTTGCCAGAGCTAATCTGAAGAAAGGTATTTGGAAGGCCAAGACTGATTATAAGGGAAAGATAGAGGATAATATTTATAGCAATAACATGAGGCAGGTGTGGCGAGGGATTCAACAAATTACAAACCATCAACTGATCAGTTTCATCCCTGCTGAAAGGGATGCTTCATTGACAGAGGAATTGAATCATTTCTTTGCTTGCTTTGCAGTGGAGACATCAGAGACAGATAAAATACAATCAGCAGCCAATTGTAGCACCTACCTCGTTGTGGAGGAACAGGAGGTGAGGAGCATTCTGAGGGCTGTGGACCCTAGAAAGGCTGCTGGTCCTGATGGTATCTCTAGCCGAGTTCTTAAAGACTGTGCTGATCAGTTGGCTGGAGTCTTTACCAGGATCTTCAATCGGTCTTTATCCCAGTTCATTATTCCATCTTGTTTGAAGGCTTCCACCATTGTTCCGCTGCCAAGGAAGTTCCCTATCAATAACCTCAATGATTACAGGCCAGTGGCACTCACTCCTATCATCATGAAGTGCTTTGAGAAATTGGTCTGCTGGCACATCATCTCTGGTCTTCCACATACATTTGATTAACATCAGTTTGCATACAGAAAAAAATAGATCTACAGAGGACGCTATAGCCGTCACTCTTCACACTGCTCTGACTCATTTAGAACAGTGGGGGGGCTATGTGAGGATGCTTTTTGTGGATTTTAGGTCTGCATTTAACACAATTCCTCCACATAGACTAGTGTCTAAACTTCTAGACCTTGGACTTTCTAATTAAATCTGCCTTTGGAGTATGGATTTCCTGTCTGGCCACTCACAGAGGGTCAGATTAGGTAATCATACCTCTTCAGCTCTTATTCTTAACACTGGTACACCACAAGGTTGCGTGTTGAGTCCCTTACTCTATATTCTTTATGTGCATGACTCCCACTCACGCTAGTAATACTATTGCTAAATTTGCAGGTGATACAACAGTGGTGGGACTTATCTCTGGAGGGGATGAGTCTGCCTACCGAGATGAGGTGGACCGGTTGCTTTCATGGTGTGGAAACAATAACTTGGTCCTCAACACCAATATAAGACCAAGGAGCTTATAGTGGACTATAGAAGGAACAGATCAGACATCCAGCCCTTGCTTGTCAATGGAGACCGAGTAGAGCAAGTGGCCAGTTTTAAGTTTCTGGGCATTATCCTAAAAGAGGACCTGACCTGGGGTGCTCACATTGCAGCACTAGTCAAAAGGGCCCAGCAGAGATTATACTACCTGAGACTTCTCAGAAAACAACAACTGAATGAAAAACTGCTGGTGACTGCTGCACCATAGAGAGCATTTTAACATACTGCATCTCTGTATGGTTTGACAATTGCACAGTGGCAGATAGGAAAGCACTCCAGAGGGTTAATGTCATTGCCCAGAAGATCATTGGTTGCCCTCTCCCCTCTTTGGAAGAGCTTTATAGCTCCCACTGCGTTAAGAAAGTTCAAAATATTCTCAAAGATCCATCTCATCCCGGGAACCCTTTTTTTGAACTATTACCATCTGGCAGATGGTACAGAATAATAAAAACAAGGATAAATAGGCTGAAAAAAAGCTTCTATCCCAGGGCAGTAGCTCTTCTGAATTCTGCTGTATAGTGCAGTGTTGGTGCGGTGTTGGGGGGTTTTCGGTTCAATGTGTGAAGGGTGAAGGATGTGTATTTGTGTTTATTTTCATGGTCATGATGTGCACTGAAGATGGTTTTTTATTTCATTGTACGAGGAGCAATGACAATAAAGTAAAGTAAAGTAATATAGACAGGTCTTTGTTTTCCTAGTCCAGCCATCTTTCTCAGTAATCTCCCCAGATATTGCAACACATCCAATTCAGTCTGTGCAAAAGCCTTTATATATTCCTAATCAAGAATTATTTTACCATCAAAGGATATCCAGCTCTTTTTTAAAACTTCAGTCAATTGTCTGGAAGCATTGATCCAGTAAAAACTGGAAAGAAAGAAAACATGTGAAAAACAGAACAATTCTGTTGTACATATTGAAGTAAAAACCCCTGCAAGATTGAGGCTCTAAAACCTTGAGACTATTTCCCCATATAGTTATCCCTCTGGTTCTTCAGTGTTTTGACTTTGAAGAGGTCTTGAGCACCTTCATAACTGACTGTAAGGCCTTTGCTCTTGCCAGATTTATTGGTCTTGAGCTGACCAGCATGAAGCTCACTATCCTTACCGCAATCCGGTCTCTATTGGTTCTGTTTTAGCTCAGTGCTGACTTGTGTTATCATTGTGTTGCATAAACAAGGCATATTAAGCCATTTGCATGTCACCAACCAGAGAGAAACCATACAGAACACTGAAGGTTCTTGATAGAACTTGGAGAGGTGCTACAAAAAATCAAAGGAAAACAAGCTTTTAAAATAATGGTATACTTTGAACCCCCCAATCTTATTATTCAAAAAAGTACAAGCATTGAAAATGTCTGTGAAAACTAGCTAACTGAACTAAAATTAAGTGAAAACCTGCAGCTGTAGAAGCACTAGTAGGTGAAAATTTCTGTCATGGTATAGCAGATAATTGCTTTTTTTCCCCCAGAATTAGATTTAACATAGAATGAGGAATCAATGTCCTTTAGATGTTACCTGCCATTGGACAGCTTGATTGGGGCTGCTTGCAACTGTGATTTAGCAACATCTGTGGGGTCTCAGGCTCCCCATTCCTAAGATTTACCTTATTCAAATTTGTTATACCTCCCCAACTCCAATGAATTCTTATGTTTACATACATAAAATTGTAATGTATGAATGCATTGTCTCAATTTCTTGAATCAAATATACCTCATTTGTCTTTGTAAATTATAGGGATTTTACCTAAACTTTGTTTATTCTTTTTGCCAACAGCTTCCCCTTTCTGTCCTTTTTCAATTCTCCAATTATCTCCTTTTGACCTCTGATTAATACAGAACCAGCGGTGATTAATTTATCACAGGAAATACATCTCAAACTCAACCATAATGCCAAGTTCTAGTGGTTCTGTGGTCCACAAGCCACAAAAGTCACCACTTGCCCATCCCTGTTTTAGAGAACCAAGGAAATATCTTTGTCAAATGACAGACTGTGGCTCTATAATATTCAGTGCCACCCATTGATCCAGAATTGCCTAAGAACAGTCTTTTTCTTTTCTTTTGTATTTTCTTCCTATTCAAGAATTTCATTGGCACAATCAAAATGAGGCTTTGAATTATTTCATAATGCTAAAAACTAGAAAAATAAAATAAAATGAGGTGAAGTCAAATATCACATAAATTGGTTTGTCATAATGGAAGGAAATGCTACACTTAAGCAAAAGATCCCCATGCATCTATTTTATTTTCCTTTAAAAAAATAGTATTCATTTGAAAAACAAATCTATAATTTTTTTTAGCCATCCTGCATCAGCTGAAGTACCCATAGTTTAATTTGGAAGCATTTGCTCCTCTTGTTCAGATAGCTGTAGTTGGCTGTTTCGTCCATTTTTGGATAGAGATCTAATTTCCTGATGTGTCATGAATGTACAGTAGCATCTTTGTGAAACTCGGTCAAAAAAAATAATGAAATGGCTCTATTTTTTGTGAATTTTAGGACCGCCTATTTTTCGTCATGGAATATGTCAATGGAGGAGACCTAATGTTTCAGATTCAACGTTCACGCAAATTTGACGAGCCTCGCTCCCGCTTCTATGCAGCAGAAGTCACATCGGCACTCATGTTTCTACACCAACATGGCGTCATCTACAGGTATTTTTCTTTCAGAGGGTTGGGGAAAAAAAGAATTATTAAAGCTCTTCATTTCTTTGGTGTTGGCTAAAGTCCAGAGTCTCTTAGCAACCACATTGCTTGCTAACACAGAAGTTTTTTTTCTTACTCTTTTTGAGGTGGGGAGAAGACTGTTTATCATTCTGACTGTTAGCATTTGAATCGTCTCTGCAGGCCTTGCCAGCTGTGGGTGCCAGTTTTGTATTATAAAACAAGCAACGCTTATTTTAAAAACTTGGCACACTGTGACCCATCGTTGACTTTGGTTGCGGATCAGGGCAATCTCTTTAGTTTTCTTCTTCTGCCATGGATTTCCTTTCATTTCGGAACTCCCTGCCACTTCCTGGGTTTGTTTGTCTTAATTGTCTCCAGTCTGAGATGGGATAATCATTTGATGAGGCTTTGTACATGAAGTCTTAATGTTGAGGGTGAAGGCTCAGCTGCTAACAGGAAGAACCTCTTTGGAGACAACTTGAATTTGTTCCCTGCAGCCCCTGATTGGCATCTGGCTGAACAATAACAAAATCTGAATTGCTAACTTTTCATTATGCCATGAAGAATACACTTAGAGATAAATATTTATTATTAGAAACAAGGAACCTCTTAATACATTTTCACCTACTATCTCTTTATGTTATTAAGGCCTTTATCTTGTCGTTTCACTCTTCCTCTCCTTCTTTTCCCTTTAAAACAAAAACAAAGAAAAGAAACTGGCAGTTTTTCACGACTTCAGATAAAATTTGGCAGGCATATACAGAAGAAACTGCAGTAAGGGAAGTTGGCTGTGGGATCACTTCTCTTTCATGAAGTACTTGAAGAGGGCAGTCACAAAGCACTATTCACAGGAGAGGCTGCTGCAGATATATCATTGCCAACGAGCACTAAAATGAAGCAGAAAAATAATACATGTTTGGAAGCACATAGAAATATGTATTGGAGGGGAGAGAGAATGAAGAATTGGTTGTTTTTCCTATCCAGGTTTTGCCAGCCTGAACCTCAGTGTACTGTATTGGGTATTCAGTGGCATGGACAGCAGTCCATTTATTCCTCTGAAAGGGAGATAAGCAACTTAAAACTTACTACAATATTTTATGAGCAAAACAAGTCACACATAATATACACTATATTCCAGAGAAAGAGTAGAAGAGAGAGATTTTAATAAGAGTGTTAAAACAACATTTCATCCCCCCCCCCCTTCATTCCTCATTTCTTTTCAGGAAAAGAAATCTTATCCTGGTACATAAAAATTTCTAGGAATGTTCTGGTTCTGTACTTCCTTTGGAAATTTTGATTTCAATGCTGTTGGTACTTTCCCAATCCCTCTGAAGCAATTTGAAGACAACATGTATTTATGCTTACACCACACACTCAGATATGCTGAGAACAAAAAGCAAAAATACTTACTTTCCCTCAAATTTCCAAAAATCCTATAGCAACAACCCCCCTCAACTCCACATCATATAAAACGGAACTACAATAAACTACCTGCATTTGAGGCATACACATTCACTTCTTGGGTGTTCATATGACCCCCCCAAAAAGTGTCAATAGATCATATGAGGAGGCAGGGATGAAATGCTGCCAAGCCACCATTCCCTTTGAAAGATTTGCTAATATGGTTGTAGCCAAAGAACTAGGAAGTGAGATAAAACTAAGATTTCCTCAAATGGAAACAACTGCTGTGCCTGCAGAACCACAGTATTTTAGGGCACAAACTAGTTTTTTAGCTGTATGACATACAACATAGCTGAGCTGAAAATAAATAGAACAGAGATGAAGTCATGGAATCTCAGAGACATGGAACCAATCAGTAAAGAACAAGTGGGATTGCTGTTATTGCCTATATCTGTTGTGTTATGTACTCACCACAAATAAATTATTTACAGTCAAATCTTTTTTTAAAAAATGGCCTTAAATATGTCACAATGCGGTGACCTATTTTTGATTTAGTGCTATTGATTTAGTGCTCTTAACAAAGTTGCTGAGAAATAGGATCTGCTCCTATCTGTCAACATTTCCATCTCTTACAATTAAAAGCAGTTTTAAGGAGCAGAGAGCCAGATGCCAAACAAAGTTTGTCTTCTCTGAATTGCCTGTGTAAATGCAGAGATTGCTAGTCTTTAAGTCTTATTAACAGTTGTAGTTCAGTGACATCTGGAATGCCAAAGATTGCGTTCTCCTGCTGAGAGAAAAGATCAATGTCATGCAATGTGGAAATTTCCATGGACATTTTCTTCTCCAATGGAAAGAAACCAAGAATGGCTTATGTCTTCATGGCTTTTCCTTTATATGATGAAAAACAAGGGGATTGGCAAAAAAGATGACTAGTTGAGAACTTCAGTATTGTATTACCTTTTATAACAATAGAGTAAGCCTCTGATTTTAATGGACTTTTAATGGACAAAAGGAAGAATATCTGTTTAAGCTGAAGGTTGTCCATTAAAGTGAAGATTTACCAGTAGATATAATTGGGGAGAGGTGGCCCATCAAGTAACCTGCCCTCAAGTCATGTAGCACTTTAAAGATGATAGTCAACACCTGGAAACAAATCAGCAACAAGTGCAATTCATGCAAAAGAGATGACACAAAACCATGTGTATTATGAGCCAATTAAACTCTTCAAGGGCAGCCTAATGTAGAATGCATGACAATAGTTCAAACAGGAGAGGGATGACTGTGAGAAGGGCCCATAACAAATAGCAAAGAAGGAAATCATTGTTTTTTTCATTTCCTTGAATTCCAAGCACATCAGAAGATATGATGTTCTTTTTGTTTTGAAATAACATAGCTACAGCAACTCTGGCCCTTTCTCCCCAAAAAATTTTGCATTACTGTTATCCCTGAAATATATCTGACACACACAAAAATGTTTAATGTGGATGAAGTGGCCCTTGGCATATTGTAGGATATAGAATAGAATAAAATAGAATACTTTATTGGCCAAGTGTGATTGGACACACAAGGAATTTGTCTTGGTGTAAATATTCTAAGTATACATAAAAGAAAAGATACATTTGTTAAGAATCAAGAATCATAACGTACAACACTTAATGATAGTCATAAGGTACAATCATCAATCAAATCATACTACGACACAGTCAGTATAAATCGTAAGGATACAAGCGACAAAGTTACAGTCCTACAATCACAAGTGGGAGGGGATGGGTGATAAGGAGTGATGAGAAGATTAACAGTAATAGTAGTGCGGACTTTGTAATAGTTGGACAGTGTTGAGGGAATTATTTGTTTAGCAAAGTGATGGCGTTCGGGGGAAAACTGTTCTTGTGTCTATTTGTTCTGGTGTGCAGTGCTCTATAGCGTCGTTTTGAGGGAAGGAGTTGAAACAGTTCACATCCAGGATGTGAGGGGTCTGTAAATATTTTCACAGCCCTCTTTTTGACTCGTGCAGTATACAGGCCCTCGATTGAAGGCAGGTGGGTAGTAATTGTTTTTTCTGCAGACCTAATTATCCTCTGAAGTCTGTGTCTGACCTGTTGGGTTGCAGAACCAAACCAGACAGTTATGGATGTGCAGATGATATACAAATGGCAACTACTTTTCAAGTTGCAGTCACCATAGCCCAGTTCTTGGGGATGGGTAAACAAGAAAACATAAACCTTGAGGATTTTTCATGAATGTAGAGCCTCTCATATATTAATGCCAATTGTAGTTCTTCAACATAAGAAAGAAAATAAATTGAAGCATTCGTGCCTGGAGGTCACAGTCAACAAGACAAGGCTTGGCAACTCCATCTGAATTAACCCAGTGAGTTTCTGGCTGGGATGACATTTGAAGAAGAGTTTTCTGAGTTCCTAAAATGTGACCCATTCCAAATTATCTTCCCCTTGTTCCTCCAACTGGAAAGGCTACTAGAGATGGCATTTGTGCCATTGTCAGAGCTCTCCCTTCCTTAATATTCATCTGCATCATGTAAACAGATCATCACATAAACAGAACCTTGACATTAACATGGGAAGAATAGGGTGGGCCTTTTGTTAAAAGGGAAAAAGAGAAACCAAAGAAGGCAACCAAGAAGCATGCCAAGTTTACATTCCTGAGAGGGCAGTCGTTTTCCTGTAGAATTTGTAGGAAGGGGACCAGTGCTTTCTGCCTGATAACACTAAGTCTACAAAGAGGAAGTTGGGAAGCAGTATTTATCTTCTGTTTAAACATCAATTATTTTAGTTTATTTGGTTGTTATATTTACTTAACAAGAAACTAAAAATGAGCCTGCATTCCCTGGCTGAGCTCAAAAATATATGCTTTTATATACAGAAAGGGACAGAAGCACATATGTCTTATTTTTTTCTATGTACACAGAACTTCCCTTTAATGCTTCTCTGGAGAATAATGAAGATGGCTTGTGGAGTACTTTGGTTTCAAGAGAAAAAGAAAGAGCAATTGCAATTCTCCACTATATCTAGTAGTTGCCCTTTAAATTTTTGAGCTAAAATAGTATTTCTACACTGATATTTTTTATAATCAGGAACTTAAATATTTACTGTGCTATGCCCATTTTATCCAGATACTTTGGGGAAATTTTAATCTTGTACAGTTAAACACTTGTATGGCTTAAAATCCAGACACATTATTGGTAACCTATTAGTAGTGATTAGATGAATAGAGAACTAGTTGCAAGATCTTCCCTTTGGAATAAATGTACTCATTATCGCTGTGATAGAGAAGAGGGTTTTACATTTTTTATCTTCCTCAAGAAACCAAAACAAAACTCCACTAATAATTCAGGCAGCAGCACAAGTGTGGTCTAAAACTGTTTTTTTTTCTTCACAAGGATCCAAAAGGAATGACAATAGAGACTGGGTTTTTTCCTGCAAAAAATTAAAGTGCCTTTTCCTGACAAGAGTGAAGGCAACCTAAGTATTCTTAAGGGATCTAGATAATCCACTGCTTCCCACCAACTACAGATAGCTCTTGTCTTCACAGCTTTCCCTAAAATGGGAAGGTTGGAGATGTGATTATAG